TCTAAATTATGATTCAGCAAATTTTTTAAGTATGTCAAAATAGCTACTGTCTAACAATTCGGTGTCTGTATTTAAATTAATTCCATTTTTCTGTTCTTTAATGTGGATCATTTCGGATATTAGTCTTTTTGGTAATTCTTTTCATGATCCATAATTTTAATATTGTCCCAGTCAAATGTATGTTGTTCGTTTAGAATGTGTTCCGTGATAACCGAATGTCTAGCAGAGTCTAATTTAATATTATTTTTATGTTCTTTAAGTCTCGTTCTTAACTGTCTTTTTGTCTGTCCGACATATGTGGCGTCACAATCGTTGCAGTTCAATTTGTAAATAACATTAGAATTCGTGGGGCAATTATTTTTGTCCTTTTGAACTCTTATGAAGTCATTTAATTTTTTAATGCAACGATATCCTACCACTACGTCAGGTCTTCTTATTGCTGAAGCAACTTTCTCAGATATTGGTTCTATATATGGTATGACAAAATATTTAATGTTAGTATTAGTATTATTGGTATCTGTTATATTGTTATTATTAGGCTTGTTAAATTTTTAGTTGAGAGATTTTTAATCTGCGTTTTATTTCTGTGAAAATTAGATCAAGAGGATAACCGTTGGATAGCAAAATGTTAATAGCTTTCTCTATATTTTTTTTGTGAAATTGCGGATGTGATAGTAATAAAGCTCTATCTACCAAGTTATAAATTGTTCCTATTTTATGACAAGTCGGATGATTTGAAAAAAATGAAAGTAATCTACCTGAGAATGTCTTTTTGTGATACCAATCTAAATAAATTTTGTTATCTATTACTTTGATCATTATGTCTAAAAAGCTTATACAACGATTATTTCTTTATATTGTGTTCTTTTTAAGTTTTAAACTTACTAACTAAAAATCCTTTAAATTGTTTTTTTTATACAAACTATCTTTTATATTATATGTGTTTTATGTGTAGGTCCTAAATATTTATATAAAAAATATTTAATTCTCTTTCAACCTTTCAAAAAATACCCAATAGAACAGAAAATCAAAATAATATCATTTTGACGTCATATTAATCAAATTTGGTCAATATAATGTCAAATTGAAATTATTTTGACTTTTCTGTTCTACTTGGGTAATACAATTTAGAGACTTTAAATTAAAATGTATATATATTTCAAAATTTTTCAAAGATTTTAATTCTGAAAAAATCGACTCAATAATACAGAGTACAGATAAACAATTTTATGATATCAAAAATTCTATTTGCGTTACATAAATGATCTTAAAGTATGTGTCAAAATAATTAATATATCATAATAATATATGAAAGAAATAATAACGGAATTAGTAATCCATTAAATAATAATATAATAAAAGAAATAATTAAAAAATTATCTCTTATATTATATAATATAATTATAAACTTTATTCTTCTCAGCAGTTCTATAATATTATCATCGTATAATTCATGCCTTGCATTCATTCGATATTTACTACCACTATCCAATACTGACAATAATACTAGCTAATATGTACGAGATATTGAGGATCATAGTCGTTTAAATTGCGCATGATTGCGATGCTATGCGCTTTTGTGAGCGCAGTCGATTAAAGATTGAATGAAAAGTCACAGACAGAATTAATTCGAAGATTACATTCGCGCGAAACAAAGCGTGCTGTAGTATTTATGTAGCGGTAACTTGCGATATATTCGCTTTGATATTTTTACTTAAAGTGCTTGCAGCTCGAAAGAGATTATTTCGATTACATAATGTAATCCGGCAAAAATTTTTTTGACGAAAATGTTTTATTAATTTTCTTAATATAATTTGTTAAATATTCTTAAAATATTCTTCATCAAAATGTCGGATATTTCTAACTTATTGAACCTGAGTAATATATCAATATCCATTTATGAACAATGGCCATCACAGAAATCCGATCATCATCATTACGTATTTATGTCAGCTACTTGAATTTAGTAAAATTCTATAGTGAAATCAAACTCGATAATATGTTACAGCATGGATAAATTTGATGATAGATTTCGGATAACGAACGGAGTCAGGTATATATAGAAATAAAAAATAAAACTTTGTCTTGCCTCTACTTATTATTTAGTATAATTTGAATAATACGTGTATGTGAGAACCCTTCGGCCCTTTCGATAATCCGTATGTAATATCACGCTAAAAATGCATATGGTATCCTGGCGTATTAATGCAAGGAAAGAGACCGCAGAAGGTCATTGCACTACATGTATATATTCTTTGCCCACTCAACGACGATGAATACAATTATATTGGCAAACGACGGGACATGCAACGAATTGTCGCTCATGCATGCGTGCATACATCGTTTTTCATGTTTTTATGACGTTTTATTTTTTATTTATTTTAAAGGACCATTTTTTATAAAACACAATATATATGATTCTCCTTTCATTATTCTTTTTAGTCAAAAATAAAATATTAGGAAAAATAAAATATCTCCTCGCGTCTACCCTTCTGGGAGTCTCAGAATTCTGGTAGAAGCTCGGGCGAAACAATCTTTCTAAGTTGAAACTTGACCGGCTTGCAGCACCGAAAGGATGAGGTTAATCACGTTGATGGGATCTGACAAAAGATATAACGTCGCTTGATAAGTGGATTTTTAATGCTCAGTTCTATGCTCTCTTTCCTCTCTATTTAGTTCGAGAATTTTTTCTGTTGATATACATAGAGATAACTTTGGTGCGAAAATTTTGCTATTATTTCTTTTTTCAATTTCTGTACATTAATATATTGTATATATAATATAGTTATTACCATATATTTTTATAAAATGTATAAATTTATATATATATATATATATATATATATATATAAAAAACAAACATACATATAATAAATATATATTATATATTTTTATCTTATATATATAATATAATATAAATCAAAATAATTTGTGATCAAAATAATCTACCAAAAAGTAATAAACAAGACAAAGTAGATAATATAACACAAATGTAGAAATATTTTTAAATACATATATTAAAATTATTTTTAATTTATCATATAGAATACTATATAAATTTATCGCATTTTATTTTATAATAAAAAAGTTGGAGTAAAAAGTACTCTATTAGTTTATTAATATATATGTATGATAACTGTTTATATGAGATTATTATCGTTAGTGTATTATTAAAATAAATTTTGATACAAGATTTTATTAATTTATTAATTTTAGTAATCTGCTATTAATAATAAATTAATAGTAGAAATTGTTCGATTGTTGAAAAAAATTTCTGTTTTTTCAATTAAATATATGAAATATGATGAATAAAGAATGAACGATTAAGAAAACTTTTCAGCTACTCTAATATTTATATGTATGTATATCAGAAAAAATAATGAATTTATTATATAATATAACAATGTATTAGTATTTTTAACAATAACATAATTCAATTTAGTAAAACAATTAATTAGCAATAAGAAATAAAAAATCTAGCAATATCATAACGCGAGATAATATATATAATATATATATCATATTATTTACTTTTCATATTTTATCAATATTATAATCAATATTAAGCTGTTCAAAGTTATATAAATAGTATGTATATACAATGTATATATATACTGGTCGTATTACTATTTATATAATTTTGAACAGCTTAATATTGATAAATTATAATATTGATGAAATATGAATACGAATTCCAAAGAAAAATGCACCAAATACAATGTATATACATATATCAGAATTTAATCAGAAAATATTATTAGCCAATTGCCCTAAAGTTGGCAATAAAGCATTGAATATTTAAGAAAAAATATTGTCTGCATCTGCTACTTTACACATTTTTTGTGCATTCCTTCACCTTTCTCTCTTCAAAGGCTGTCAAATATATAAAAGTGACCTGCGGTATAAAGGCTATACTTCCTTTCAACCGCACGGATTCCTCGACCATTGTCAAGCCGATCTTTCCTTCACGAAAATGTTCTCTCGACGAGTTATTTTCCAAGTTATAAGATCGAAAATGGAAACTTTCTTTGAAACATATTTTCTTGTTATTAAAATATAACAAAACTTTCAAACAATTTGTTTTACGACTTTATTTTCAAATAAAGCTCAAATATTACTTTATACTTCTATTCAATAGTTTATTTATTAGCTTTATTTATGCATTCAGTTAGTAAAAGATATATATTAAAAATTAAATAATTATAGATATTAAGATACTGAAATACACTCTGAGATATATATTATAATAATATTGAGATCAATCAAATAATTGGCATTATCGAATCTATTTAATTGTATTTTGATCTATAAAAAGATCTAGTTTGCGATTAAATGTAATTATAAAAAGGAAAAACAATTAACAAATTTTATTTGTCAAGTTTGAATAATTGGTTCAAATTTTAATTTGATTTAAAATTTCCATCCCAAAATATTGCTAAAGCATATATATATTATGCATCTTGTGCAAAATAAAGCTACTTGTCAGAAAATAAAATTATGTAAACAAATAATATTTTTAGTTTAATTCTGTTTAAATATATATATATGTGCAATTTTATTTCCATGTAATATTCTTTAAAAATATAACTACATATTCAAAAAACATGAAATATATAATTTCTTTCTATGCAGAATTGATCAATTATTATTCAATATGTATATATATATATCTAATATTTATAATTATTTAATATCTTCAATTGATAAAAAAAAGAATCTACAATTGAAAAACATACGACTGATTAGAAAATTTTATAAATATATCCAATCACTGATACAAAAAAAAACAAAGACTGACGAATATCTAAAACGCAAAAATAATATTTGTCAATAATTGCCAATACTTCATTTTGATTTATAAAATGACATATAAAATGTTATTAAAATAAACATGATTCTTTAGCCTCCTTAGAATTGATCGGCACAAGTTTGAAAGTTGCATCTATATATTCCGCAGGATAAAAATCTAATATAAAAAATAGATAAATATTAAAACTCACCGATCATTCGCGTTGTGCAATCACAATTCGCGGCGCAGGATCGCTCACAATCGATTCGAATCGCGTTTTGATTGTACATGCGCTCGATATTCACGAAACGTAAGCGCGCAACCGAGACCCGAAAAGAGAGATGCGCGTCCACTCGCATCTAAAGTGCAACTTAAACCGTAACCCGCGCTTTGCCATCGGCTACGAGAAACGCGGACCGGCGCAGTTGCAGTTTAGGGTAGAAGGGGTCGTCCCTAAACGGACACTAGACGGACCAGACATTGAAGTCGTTCCGCCACTAGGTTTATCGACTATGGCTCTGGATGAGAGACAATATTCAGATTTCTATATTATCGATGATTAAGGGTAATGTATCTACATATTGCGACTCGATTCAAATCTTAGCAATCGCGGGTAAATTCTTAGTTTGAGAAAAATAAGATTGATCATTGATAATTAAGATTTCATCATAAATATGTCGTTGAATTAAAATAATTTCTTCCTCTTTCAGAAGAATAAAATATTCTATTATATACTGGAAAATTAATTTTTTCCTCTTTCAGAAAAACAAAATATTTTATTTAATTAATTATTCTAGATGTTAATAAATATCCTATATTATGTATACATCATTTTATCGCACTGTTGCAATTTATAATTTATAATTACATATTGACTCGATTCACTGTTCAAAATCTTACTAATCGCAGGTAAATTCTTAGCTTAAGAAAAATAAGATTGATCATTAATAATTAAGATTTCATCATAAAATATGTCGTTAAAATAAAATTAATTTCTTCCCCTTTGTTTTGTATATTTTCTCCTTTGGGTTTTATCGGAGCTATCGCCTAGTTCTCTCTTGTGGACTGCGTCGATAGGCAAGGATAGATAGCAGGAACTAGTCTCTTTATTCTAAGTAAGAATACGTAATTTTATTCTTCGGATCACAAATGTTCTTCTCGGGTTTACCGGACGGCTCGTCGTACCAGACTCGCCCTCCGTGCCGCATCGCTCCTTTTAAAGACGCGGAAACTCTCTCCTAATTCGGCGCTTCGCCCTTGTGGACGCAATAACAAACTGTCGATGTACACAATTACAGAGAGCTCTCAGTAGCGTATATCGAAGGCGCGCGGGGATCACGGAAATTTAATTTTTTCCCAAACATACCCCTCGGGTTGAATCGCCAAGGGATTCAAATGACAGTCAGGGGTAAATCCTTACACATTGAACTGCAATCATTGGAGACAACCTGCAGAATTTAGATTACGCTGAACCGTCCGGACTTACCGGCAATTTACAGAGTTTAACAATAGGTCTTACAAAAGTAGAAGACGCGGTCTTGACCTGAGCAACTCGCACCAGGCCATCCTTGTCAGGCTTACATTCGATGATTCTCGCAAGTTCCCATCTGCAGGGAGGTAAATTAGGATTTTTTATTAGAACAATATCGTTTATGCGAAATTCATCAGATCGATTCTGCCATTTAAAACGCTGCTGCAAGGTGTTCAAGTAGTCAAGACTCCACAATTTCCAAAATTGCTCGTATTTCGCACGCATTAATTGCCATCGATCGAGTCGTGACTCGGAGATATGTAAGACGCTCGGACTCGGAATCGATTTAATGGCGCTACCAATTAAAAAATGCCCTGGTGTGAGCGCATTGCAAGAATTTACATCGTCATGAAGTGCGGCGATCGGGCGCGAATTCAAACATGCTTCGATGTTACATAAAAGCGTGGTGAACTCTTCGACCGTAGGTGTGCAGGAACCAAGTATACGTCGCAAGTGGTGCTTAACACTCTTAACACCTGCCTCCCACATGCCCCCAAAATGAGGGGCAGAAGGCGGAATGAAATGCCATTGAACTGGCTTTGACGCGAACTTCGCCTGCAGATCTACGTCGGCTTGAGTCTGTCGGATCGCTGTAACAAGTTCGCGATCCGCGCCTTGATAGGTAGTCGCGTTGTCGGAATAAAGATCGGATGGAATGCCACGACGCGCTACGAACCGTTCGAAAGATGCGAGAAACGCAGCCGTGGAATAATCATGAACGAGCTCTAAGTGTATAGCTCGTGTAGCGAGACAAACAAATAGCGAGATGTATGTTTTGTGCGACTTACGTCCGCGGCCGGAAGCGTCTCGAATTGCGAAGGGGCCGGCGTAATCAAGTCCCGTATGGCAAAATGGACGGGACGGAGTTACTCTAAATGTAGGAAGGTCGGCCATAAATTGTACGCCGGTTATGGCGCGATGCCGAGTACATGTCACGCAATTGCGGATACAACCTTTTACCATGCTTCGCGCCCCCAGAATCCAATATTGTTCTCGCAACGTGCGAAGCATTAATTGTACACCGCCGTGAAGTGTATCCTTATGAATTTGATCGATAATGAGCTTAGAAAGGTAATGTTTTGGAAGTAGAATCGGAAATTTACGATCATATGAAAGGTCAGACAGTTGAAGTCGACCACCCACGCGTAGGATACCGGAGGGATCCAGGAACGGATCGAGAGAATGGATGGAGCATCGAACTGGTAACCTCGACTTGGCTTTGAAAGCGACGATTTCTTTTGAAAAGTATTCCGTTTGCATCTGTTTAATCCAGAATCTGTGCGCGGTTTTTATTTCATCGACTTGCAAAATAGAGAGACCTTGAGCAACATCTGGGACTCTCGTTCGAAACTTGAACCGAAGGACGTATGCGGTGACCCGTAGTAAGCGTGGCCACGTGGAGATATGATTGAAGGATTCAAAAAGTTCCGCTCGATTTGAATGATGCGAGTGGACTGCATTTGACGCTTTCAATTCGGAATCATCTTCGGTGCAACTTATCGTAGATTGAACTGGCCAATTATCCTCGTTAAATTTCAGCCATGCCGGGCCGTTCCACCAGGAACTGGAAGGCGTTAGCTGAGCTGGATTTATGCCGCGCGATGCGCAATCTGCGGGATTATCTTCTGTTGGCACATGCAGCCATGTCGCCGTAGGAAGCTTCGTTTGAATAGAAGACACTCTGTTAGCTACAAATACTTTTAAATCTGATGGAGCCTTTTGCAACCATGCTAATACGATTGTCGAGTCACTCCAGCAAAACACAGGAATGTTTTGCAATTTCATCGCGTCAATAGTAAACGAAATACAGCGTGCTAGCAGCTGAGCCGCACAGAGCTCGAGTCGTGGAATCGAAATCGTTTTAATCGGAGCAACCTTGGTTTTTGATAGGAGAAGTCGAACATGACTATCGCCAGAATTCGTGACAATTTTTGAATAGACTACCGCTGCATAGGCTTTAGATGAAGCGTCGCAAAAGCCGTGTAAATGCAAGCACTGAATGTTACGCTCGAAGCCTAACCAACGAGGAACTTGCAGAGTCGTCAAGTGTAACATCTTTTCGCAAAAAGCATTCCATTCGGTTGTTATTTCCGCAGGAAGAATATCATCCCATCCGTAGGAAAATTTCCACAGTTTTTGCAGTAGAATTTTGAGAGATATCGTGATCGGAGACACCCATCCGAGGGGATCGAATATTTTCGCTATCGTCGAAAGGATTTGTCGTTTCGAAATGTCGGTAGATGGTGGACGGAATTTTATTTCAAAGGAGAAATTATCATCGCAAGGTGTCCAATGAATACCGAGTATTTTTAATTGTTCACCTTCTTGGAAAGGCTTGGAACTTGCTAGACCGTGATTCGCAGGATTTATATCTTGTAGAATTTCAAAATCGTTGCTGGCCCATTTTCTGAGATGAATGCCTGCGCTTAGTAAACAGCCGATTAGTTGGTCGCGTTTTTTAATCGTGGATGGTTTATCATCGCCTCCGGATAGGACATCGTCAACGTATATTTCATTTTGCAAAATTGCTTGAGCTAGTGGAAAACGCGAACTCTCGTCGATTGAAAGTTGTTTGAGCACGCGTTGGGCGAGATAAGGCGCGCAGGCAGTACCATAAGTAACGGTATTTAATGAATAAGTATGGACTGGCTCGTTCGGAATCGTACGCCACAATATTAATTGATATTGGCGATCGTCTGAATGAATCTGTATTTGTCGAAACATTTGCTGAATATCAGCGGAAAAAACGTATTTGTACAAACGCCATTGAAGAATAATCGCCGGAAGATCGGCTTGCAACTTTGGACCAATCATAAGATGGTCATTCAAAGAAGTGTTATTCGAGGTATTTGCCGAGGCATTAAACACTACACGAAGTTTGGTTGTAGTATTGTCCTCGCGAATAACTGGATGATGAGGTAGAAACGTCGGTTGAAAGAAGCGTTGCACGTTTTCGATTTTTTGCATATGCCCGAGCTCTTCGTACTCGTTAAGAAAGTCGACGTATTGCCCTGAAATTTCCCGAGAATTGGCTAAACGTCGCTCTAGTTGCGCGAGTGAACGCGTAGCTACTGACCTTGACTCGCCGATCTTTATCGGAGGACCAGACTTGAAGGGTAAGCGGACAACATAGCGCCCTGAAGAATCGCGCATATGTGTCTCTTGAAAATGTAAGTTGCAACGAAGATTTTCCTCTGAGAGAGCGTGTGTCGTTGGAATTTCTTCCAGCTCCCAAAAACGTCGGAGTTCGAAATCGAGATTGCCAGAAGTTGCTTGGTGAACGTGAATTCTTTGGCTATTTTTTTGGTTTGAAATAGGACCCGAAATGATCCACCCGAATATCGTTTCTTGCGCAAGTGTAGCATCGTTAGAAGCTTTCATTAAGCCACCCATCATAATTGAACCGTATAATTCGGCCCCGAGAAGTACTTCGATTGCATCATTTGAGCTTGGATTTGGATCGGCTAGATTCAATTTGGAAAGAAACGGAATCTCTTGTAATTGGAAATGAGGTGGAATGTACGCTGTAATTTTTGGAACGACCAATGCTTTGGTATGAAGAATCGTATCATTTTTATTAGTCGCGCTGATAGAAATAGAGACGGCATGTTGAACGCAATTAGACGTAGTGTCACCGATGCCAGATACCTTTACGCGTGTTGAAATTAAGCGAGCTCTCAACATTTGAGCGACTCGTGACGAAACGAATGTGGCATCGGAACCTTGATCGATCAGTGCTCGCGTGTAAACATATCGACCGTTTTCTGATCCTATACAAACACGTGCGGTAGCCAGGAGCACGGGTTTAACTCCCGCGTTCA